AAGATATAGAATAAAGTGATGGGATAAGTATTCTAATGATAGAGCCAATGTTAAAGTTGTAGATGAATTCTACAACAAGTTGCGATCTCGGTGCAATCTCTTGTACGCGATAATGTTCCAGAAGAAGACACGATGTTAATTTCTAGAATTCAAGCATGCTCATCTCTGGCAGAGATAGCAAAGATTATCAAAGAAATAAAGAATTCTCCACCCGCCTCTTCGCCTTCGAAAAACTTTGAATTATATCAAGATTCCCAAGATCCTTTTGCTGATCTTTAAGGGAAAATTTATCAATATGTGAGTGATTATTATCAATTTGAGAATAAAAGATTGTGTAATTATTATCAATGTAAGCAGACAATGAGTATGTGTTATTATTATCAATGATTGAAGTTATTAGCAATATTTGAGAACAACTTTGTCTTTGTTACTATTATCAATGTGTGAGTATACACTGATTGTAGTCTCTCCTAAAAAAATTTATTGGCTCGAAGGTGGATGGATGGATCATAGGATATTTACCCACCATGTGACTGTGATTAAATTCACGAGGGCTTCGGGTGTGTGCCCGCACTCCGGTTTGATAGTTCGTGTGGTTTGGCCACCCCACGAACACTTAAAACAGAAATTGATGGACTTTATATACATTATATTTTAATGCAATAATTGTGAACAACCTTGATTTTTTATGAGTTTAGTTTAACCGAATTGTAAGTTTTTCGCTTTATTATCGATGTTACCTATTGTTATTTCGAGTTCATATTTTAATATGTTCACTGAGCCTGTGCTCAACCGTGTTCTGTTTTCTGACATGAGATTTAGAGACTTGGAACATCGAGAAGTAGAAATTACAATCTTCTCATTAGAAATATTAAACATAAACTAACTAAACAATTGAAGAATATGGAGGATGGATGGTTGGTTGGAGAAGTGTAGAGGTGGTGGAAGATTGATGCCCTTTGCCTTGAGAATGGTCTTCCTTTTATAAGCATAAAATGAACCGGAACTGTTGCTTTGAACGGGCAGTTGTCCATCTTCAAAATTATTTGTCTTGATAAATGTGCTTGAAAACTTTCAACATTGTCATAATATACTTTTGTCACTTCAACAGAAACGAGCTTTGTTTATAATGGGTATTGCAGAATCTTCACATTACTGTTGACACTTGATTTGATAGCATCGCTTGAACTTGTCGGGCGTGCAACATGATCTTGAGTAATTGGTAGTCCTTTATTGTTCTTCGATAAAGGCATATTGCTTGACCGCTTGTCTTTATAATAAAAATTTAATAATAAAGTTTTAATCGAACATATAATAGAAAATCTCTAAAAGAGATTACATATTCGTACAATAAATTTTTTTAGGAGAGACTACACCCAGTGTATACTCACACATTGATAATAGTAACAAAGATAAAGTTATTCTCAAATATTGATAATAACTTCAATCATTGATAATAATAACACATACTCACTGTCTGCTTACATTGATAATAATCACACATTCTCAAATTGATAATATTCACTCACATATTGATAATTTTTCCCTTAAAGATTAGCAAAAGGATCTTGGGAATCTTGATATAATTCAAAGTTTTCCGAAGGCGAAGAGGCGGGTGGAGAATTCTTTATTTCTTTGATAATCTTTGCTATCTCTGCCGGAGATGAGCATGCTTGAATTCTAGAAATCAACATCGTGTCTTCTTCTGGAATATTATCGCGTACAGGAGATTGCACCTGGGATGATTGAGATCGCAACTTGTTGTAGAATTCATCGACAACTTTAACATTGGCTCTATCATTAGAATACTTATCCCACCACTTTATTCTATATCTTCTGACTGAAGTCGAAGGAGACATTCCTTCTTGTGGTTTATAATGGTATGTCCAGGTCATGATCCATGGGATTCTGAACGAAATTGCGAACTGAAGATAATGCTCGAAGGGTGAATTAGAATATGAGATGAAGTAGGTCTTAAATTTATAAAATCCTTCTAGAACAGGAGAAGGAAAGGTTTCAGGAATAATTCTCATGTGTTTGAACCAATTGATAAACCATGTAGGATACAAGTGTGATAAATTTGGGTCGAAATAGAAAAACCAAGAATGATCAAAATTTCTTAAAAGAAACGCCTTGGTCCATGCTTGTTTATAATCATAATAAGTATAATGAGGAAGAGGGGGAAAGCCACTTAGAGTTTTCTTGGAATAGGGCTTTTGATTCCAATCTTCTAAGGAAAGAACCTTTTTGAGTTTCACCTTGCTGTAAGTGACCTTTGAAGGCTCTTTTGGACAAAAATTATGTTCTATTACAATGGAATCAGTATCAATAAGGATAGCTTGATAAAAGTCGCGGGTTTTTCGTTCGTCACTGTCTATAAAATGACAGTTCTTTGGATAAATAAAATTTATAAGGGTTCCATAATGGGTTGTAACCATCTCTGTTTCCATAGGTTCAAGAACTTTGATAAAATGGTCATGAGGATTTATGATATATTGAGAAAAAGGTGATTCTGATTGAGAATGAGAAGGAGGCTCGATTCTTTTAGAATAAGATGGAGATGACTCAACGACTTTAGAATATGTAGGTGGTGAAGGGGCTTTGACCACAGAAATATTCATCTTGACAGGAGATGGTACTACTTGAGAATTATTGAATAATGTGTTCGGCCTTGGCCTTGGGCCAGAAGCAAGGGGAGCAAAACGATTTGGCATAACTGGGAAAGTTTGATAATTGGTAGCATATGGTCTGAGAATTGGAGGCTTTGCTTCCGATTGAGAATCCTTCTTTGATAATGACTCTTTTGAAAGGATAATCTTTTTACCTTGACTCATTCTTCCTGTAAAACTTTTTGATAATTTTGTCAAAAAATAAGGCTTTAAAAGATCGTACATAACTTAAAAAATTTATTTAGGAAAAATAATTTTGTCAAAAAATAAGGCTTTAAAAGATCGCTTATTATTTTACGAAAAAATTAGATGATAATCTATTTATTTCTTTTGTGATAATAGGAGTGACAAATTCAAAATTAATCTCTTTATTTAACACCTCGGTTGATAATCCTTTTTCTGTTATATTAATTGGATATAATTAGGTGATAAACGGGGTACCTAATATAATTTGAGAACTTAAATTCTTAACCAAAATTAAAGGAGCTTTATAACAATATCCGTCATTGCAAACATGAATATTAGTTAATTTATAATTTATTTGTAGTTTGGATCCACTAGCGGTGGATAGTCTCTGAGAAGACTTCTCATAGTACCTTGTAGGAACTAACCCTTCTTGAATACAATTTATTTGATATTTTTACACTTTTTCTTTACTTTATTTACCCATTTTATTTTCCCAAATTCCACAAATTGAGTCTTTTTGTTTTGTTTTTCTATCTTTTTATATTGGAGCTAAAGTGATATGATAAACATGTTTACTTCATGGATGTGTGTTAATTTTTGGGGGAAGTAGCTTTGTTTCTAGGTACTTGGCTGAAACATGCTACATCACATGCTGCAGGACGATCCTGGAGCATTCTTGATAATAGTACGAGAATCTTTATGAGTCAAAAACAGCCTGCATGTGCGTTCACACAAAGCACAAGGACTGATCTTTGTCCATTTGCTGTCCTACAATGTGTCTATCTTGACGTTGTGACATCTGTTTGACTTCTTGCATTTGATCCAAGGATCAACTTACTGGCTGTGCAAATAGCCATCTTGGGCTGTAATATTGCCAAACACACACTGCACAACATGATTGCTTTAAAATTGTTGGTTGCTATATTGATCATGGTCGTAATGTGAGTAAGGTGGATGTTTTGGTCTTGTAGAGTTTGGTTCAGCTATCATAAGCAGTATGTCTAATTTCCATAACAGGTTTTAGGACCCTAAGTCTTGTTCTTGGGGTACATAACCTTGTTGAGTAGAGGGAAAAGTTTTGGTACAAATGATTTATTGATCATATGATCAATTACCATGAGTTTTGAAAACAGGGTTACTTCAAAGATAGACTGTTTTGATCTTCGTTTGGTTTTCTTGATCTTAGTCTCAAGTCCTTAGTGTCTTGTCCTTCACAACCACTTGGATACAAATTGCCTTTGGTTTGTTCAAAAAGTATGCATAGAGTAGGATTCTTTCCATATCACAACTTGATTTTTAGTCATGTGTGCTTATCATAAGCCAGTCTTAAGGCAGCAGCAAACAAAGCTCAAACTTTGATCTCTGTCCATATTGGTAGCTTTGTATTCATATGTTTTGCCTGATTAGACACATGACTTTAATTGATTTGCATAAGTTTCCAAATCATATTCTACTGCCTGTGTGTCTTTTTGCATTTGATCCAAGGATCAAACTACTGGTTGTGCAAACAACCATTTTGGGCTGCATTTAGGCACTCAAAGTTGTTTGGGTGATTTTTCTTGGTTTAAAGTTCACATATGTATAAATCTTAAGATTTTGGGTTGGGACTCCATGAATGCATAATCACACACAATAGGTTGTCCAAACAGCCCTGATAGTTTGAAACAGCAGCTACCAGAATTGATTTTGACCTTTGTGTGTGTATCTTGATTATACTTACATGCATAGGACTCTCAACTTCTTAGCATCATGAACCTAAACTGATTATCCTACTTTGGTTTATTCTTTTTGTGCAGGTTTGGCATGGATGACAAACTACCACCTGGGTTCCCTCACCCTTCCCAACACTCCCCTCCTCCCATACCACAAACCACTATACCTCTCCTAACCAACTTAGCCAACCTACCACCATGGTTGCTAAGGTCAATCCTCCCATGTCCTACTCCTCTTAGAGCCATTCTATTTGGCCAAACGATCCCTTTACCTATTGTTTTAACCCCAACACCTATCCCACCTACCATTTCTTTAGCCCATACACCTACTGTCATCACACAAACAGCCCCTCACCCTACTGTTTTGACACCACCAGTCCCTTTATCTACTTTTCCCAAATCCAAACAACCCCACCCCCTTCCCCTCCACCTAAACCCAAACCCAAACCCAAACCCCGTAGACCAGCTACTAGGTCCACAGAAAGACACGTCACCAAACCAATGACCAAAGAGGAGGGTGAGGCCATCGATGTGGAAACTTATGTTCCCAAGGGTTTGCCTAAACCCAAGCAAAGGAAGCCAAGAGCCAAATGCATGAAGATAAAGGATGAGAGTCAAGATGATGCACAACCCTCGGGAGTCCCACCATCAGTTCAGCCACTCTCCCAAGGGGTTACCAAGACAGAGAGCACAGACTTTGACATATGCCACCACAACCCCATTGTCAGTCTTCCTGATACTTCAATACCTGAGCACACACGCACCTATGATGCTCAAAATGATCATACAATCAAAAGTGATCCTATGGAGCACATTGAGAGTCAAGAAATGCTCAGAGAAGACTCTCTCTTTGACATTGATCTAAATGCCTTTTTCATGAAAGAGGAGGGCCACACTCACTTACTTGACTGGCCAACTTCCACCACCTCTTCGGATGTTATCACTCTCATGGATGCACACACATCACATCACCACTTTATTGACTCTCCCATGGTTGACTTGGGCATAGTAGACTTGACGTCACAGCATTACACCCCTCCACCTATCACCATTGCATTCGACAGATTCAATAACCCATTCTATGCACTTCCTCCTTTTCCTATCTACATCCCTACTTCTCACATGACTTCTGATGCATATGATGCCTTTATGCCCATACCACCCATCACTCCCACTTACACTGCACCATTGGTGACCACTAGCTTTGATKCCTTWCCAGACTGCTAGCCTACCTCTATTCCCTCTCCTGACAGGTCCAATGCGGATAGCAATCGGACCTCTAGTGACTCTGGCCTAGTCCCGATTGAGAGGTTCACAAAGAGGCAAAGGGCTGAGTCTGAAGACTCAGAGTGGACTCCGGAAGAGGACATTCCATTGTCTCAACTACGGAGATCCACAAGCCATCAGGTACCACCTAGCCCGCCCAAAAAGAAAGCACGCACTAGAGCCGCGGACAGCCATAGTGAGAGCTGYCGTAGGCCGAGAAATCTTCAGAAATTTAAGACTTTTTTGGGKYTAGGTGAGAGAGGATTTKATAGGGGTTGTCTGGAGACCTATCCCTTCATACATGACATCATTATCTAAAGAGGATGGGAGGCATTTACTGCGGTTAGAGAGCCCTATTACCTCACCTGGGTTCAGGAATTTTATGCATCAGTTTCTTCCACACGCACTACCTCAGTCCATGTTAGGGGTAAAAAGATCTCCTATTCTCCACATGCCATAAATACTTTCTATGATTTGATTGCGCCTCCAGTCTGTAAGTATCGTAGGTTATTGCATGACCACACCAATGAGGATCTGAAGATGGTATTGACTGTTGTAGCAGAAGAGGGAGCCACTTGGAAAGCCCCATAAAAGCGCAGTCCACTCAAGTTTCAAACCAACCTTCTAAAGAAGAATGCGGCCGTGTGGAATCATTTTTTTAGATATTCATTTCACCCCACCACACACGACTCGAGCACATCATTGGACCGTATGCTTTTACTTTACTGTATTCTTGCAGGTAAAGCAGTTGATGTTGGTGCAGTCATTTCAGATGCCATTCACGGATGTACTAGGAAACCCACCGGACGGTTATACTTCCCGACATTGATCCACGGCCTAATGAAGAAGGCGAAAGTCCCAGTACCACCCGGCGAGGCATTTACCACCAATGCACTGTCTATCGAGTGCAAAACAGTTGATCGAATCCGCAAGACCTTGCGCAATGATCCCGGACAGCCCCCACTTGCTCCGGACAGCAGCCCCATGGAGACTGATTTGATGCATGAAGTTCGTAGATTGAAGGAGAAAGTCACCGAGTTAGAGACCACCTTGGAAAGAAGCGCCCAAGCCCACCACACTACCATGAAAAGAGCACTGAAAGCCCATGAAGAGACGCTATTGAAGAAGATGGAGGAACGAGATACACGACTCATGACTGAGTTGAAGGACATGCCTGCCGGAATATCCCGGCGCCCCGACGACCATTGAGGACACATACTTCACACGAGTAAGCAGCTTTATCTATCATCCCTTTTAGCTCCAATTTTCGTTTTCCTTTCTTTATTTTCCTTTTTTCCATGCGTCTGGGAATTGTCCGTGTCAGTCCTTTTTCTATTAGATTTTTTTAGATGGACCTTTAGGACATAAACTTCACTACCACCGACTTGTGTTTATAGCTTGAGTAATTTAAAAGTGATGTGAGTTTGAGTACTAATTGACATTGAAATACTAGAACTAGCCAACTCTTTTCTGGGACGGAACTTGATTTCAATTGTCACTACTTAGGATATGATCTAGGTCATCTCTTCTCCATAATCGAGCAAAGCCCTATACACTCTCCTTGCACCCCACTGAGCCACATATAAATCACAATGGGGACATTGTTGTCTCTAAGTTGGGGGGAATTTTGTCAAAAAGAGCAAAGCTCTTTCAAAAAAAAAAAAAAATATATATATATATATATAGAGAGAGAGAGAGAGAAAAAAAATGCTTAAAAAGCATTGAAAAAAAAAGAGAAAGCAAAAATGCAAAAATACAAAAAGAAAAAGGCTACAAAAAGCCAAGTAAATATTTATGTAAGAAAAAAGCAGAGTTATGTGAGAGAGAAAAAGCCAAAAAGAGAAACCCGACAAGTCCTTTTGATCCTAGTAGGTGACAATGTTTAAAAATCAGACGAAGGAAAAGTGAGGCTAGGCTATGGTATATAAATGTGATTAATACAAAATAACTTCCACTTTGATTTACGAAAAGCTATTTATAACAAGAAAGTGGTAGTTGTGAGTAACGGTGTCCATTTTTTCCATCTTATTTGAGTCTTTTATTTGTCTTTTTATGTTGTTTGGGGACAAACAACAATTCTAGTTTGGGGGTGTGATAAGTATCAATTTATTTGATACTTTTACACTTTTTCTTTACTTTATTTACCCATTTTATTTTCTCAAATTCCACAAATTGAGTCTTTTTGTTTTGTTTTTCTATCTTTTTATATTGGAGCTAAACTGCAAAAGTGATGTGATAAACATGTTTACTTCATGGATGTGTGTTAATTTTTTGGGGGAAATAGCCTTGTTTCTAGGTACTTGGCTGAAGCATGCTACAGCACATGCTGCAGGACGATCCACGGGCATTTTTGATAATAGTACGAGAATTTTTTGGGGTCACTTCTTCCTTTTTTGGCAGCCCATCTTTTGCAGCTTTTGAGATCTCATAGAACAAATTAAAGATATGATTTTTGACATCTTCTAGGTGGTTTTGGCTTCGCCCATGGTTTTTTTCAAAAAAACCAGTAAAAGTCTTTGTCCATTGGATATTACCCTCCCTTCCTCCACTATATAAAGGGGGGAGGCTTAGCTTTAGAACTAACCAATTTGTATGCAACAATCTAGAGAAACACTTGGAGTAGTTAAATATTGAAGTTTCTTTTAGTTTAAAGTTATATTTGCAAGTATTTCTCTCTTCTTCTTTATAATTCCTTTTTACGTTTATTTGTTTTGTCATCTTTTCTTTTCTTAAGTTCTCCTTATTATGCTTTATAATTTATGCAATTAATATTAGTAGTTGAAATAGTTTAAGTGTCTTTTACGAATCCATCGTTAGATTTATTTCTTCCACTTTCTCTTCTTCTCTTAAGTTTTACTTATTACACTTTATTATTATTCTTGCACTTACATTTTCTAGTATTGTTAGTTGTTTTTATAATTACGTCTAGTATTTATTTCTTCTTCTTTATTTCTTTCTTATGCATTATTATTCACGTAATTAATTTTTCAAGAATGAGAGGCTAAAAACATAGCTTGGGTGTTGGGTGAAGTTAAGATAAAGACCGTCCCGTTTGTAGAATTATAGATTATAAATCTTTATAACTATATCATTCAAGTTTTTTATTGCAAACACATAATCCATGGACAAGTTGATCACTTGTTTAAAAGTGTTAAGTGTGTTGGATTTAGAGATAAACCAACAAGCACATGTCAACTTGAATGATATGGAAGTAGACTCGAGAGAGTTACTTAGAATCGAGGAGACTCGTTTTCGCTCCATTTAACTTATAAAAGGAATAGTTTGAGCCAATGTCGGAATTCCAGCCTTGCATAGAGATATGAGGGTTGGATCTATGACTGTGTGCCATTCTACATCTCGAGAGAGCACCTTAAAGAAGCTATTAGTTGTAAAGCTAAGTGATTTATAAAGCATGCTATAGAACCATGCTGTAGCATGCTGTCTACTTTTAGATCGATTTAACATCTTAACGAATCGCTACACCCTAAGCTCTCTTTTAAAACTTGTTTACAGCAGTAGTGTTTAATCAACTCACAAAAAATATTTCCTCGAATTCATCATCTGAAATCATATCTTTATTTTTACTATTAAAACGAACTTTTATTCCTTTTTCCCCGTGGACGATATTCGGTATTTTTACCACTTTATTACTTGTAAAAGATGATAGTGGGTTGATAAGTGTATACTTGCACTAGTCTCCATTTGTTAGCAGTCTGAGAGATTTATTCTATATAAATCTCGTAACAATAATCCTTTTTCTGTTATATTAATTGGATATAATTGGGTGATAAACGGGGTACCTAATATAATTTGAGAAATTAAATTCTTAACCAAAATTAAAGGAGTTTTATAACAATATCCGTCATTGCAAACATGAACATTAGTTAATTTATAATTTATTTGTAGTTTGGATCCACTAGCGGTGGATAGTCGCTGAGAAGACTTCTCATAGTACCTTGTAGAAACTAACCCTTCTTGAATACAATTCATATCTGCTCCGCTGTCCATGAGAGCAATTAGGGTTAAATTAAATTCGTTATTGATGATTATATTAACTCTAACATACCATCTTTGATAGCTAATGCCATTAATTTGACTGACATTTTCTTCTTTAGAGTCGTTATTATTGTTGCCATTTTGTTATATAAGAAAAAGTCTTTGCTTATAATTTGTATTTCCCCTTTTACCTCCTTTAATTCACTCTGTAAATCTTGGATGGTAACAGTTTTGGAGGAACTTGTAAATCTTTTACAAATTTCATTAAAATTATAAGGTTTTAACTTTTCAATTGGATTTTTCTTGATAATATTTGTATGCCTTATTTTTTCTCGGAGCTTTTCCAGATATAATTTCTTAATTTCTGGATTTTCGATCTTATCAACATCTAATAGAAAACCTTCATCGTCAGTTAGCATATTTATGGAATTACATGTGATAACCGGATCCTGGTTATTACCCAAGGTATTTAATACATGATTATTTGATTAAATGATTACGTGATAGCATGATAATTTGATACATGCTGGTATGTGAATTTGTGCATTAATTGGATATATATATATATATATATATATATATATATATAGGTGGAGGTTCAAACGAGAACCCCTGTGATTTACGAAAATAAC